ATCAGAAATTATTTCATAATGAATCATGAGACCTGTCTATTAAGTGAAGTCATTTTGAACTCCGTACAATCATATTTTGGATATGTACTATTTTTTTAACCTTCAAAAATGATTTTGAATAATTTTAACCATAACTTGTCATTAGCTCATAATTAATGGCTAGAAACGTCGGGTGATGTGACATAGAATAGCTCAAAATAGCACAAATGCATTCAGTCATTATCTTTCCTGAGATCTTAAGTTATAAAATCACCTTATACTGTCTTGTTCTATGAATTTCTTCATTCTACTCGAATCATAATGTCTATTCCAAGTGCGTTTTTTTACCATCAATATTGTTACTGTTTTAATTATTCTCACATTTATCTTGATACCTTCATACCACTATGCTGATGTAATGCGACAAGTGGGACTGATATATATATATATATATATATATATATATATATATATATGCATTCAATTCTACATTAGTTATGGCTGATTGTCATTAGCTAAAGAACTGTTAATAAACAAGGAGTAATGAGAAATAGTTTCTTTTTAATTTAGTGAACTCTTTAACGGTGTACACTTTAGATTTCAGGTATCTTAACGACAAGAAAAATATTTCCGGACCATATAGTTAAAATTCAATGGTTAACATTTTAAGAGTATTTTAACTCATAACTTAAAAAAACGACGATCATTAAATATATCTGTCTTAATCTTCATATGATTAAACGACACCAGTAATGACTTCTCATAAAAAAATACTAACGAAATCCATTAACAAACTAATGACTAGTGAACATACATGATTATCTGTTCGGTTGAATGGTTGTTGTTGTGTTTCCTTCATCTTTACTGTACTTTTGACATAAAATCAACGTACACATATAAAAAGAATAAAAACAATTCTAATGAAAAGTATTGTGTTGTAACATATTAACAAACTTTATTTATTTATTATTAATAGTAGTTTCAACAATGAGTTGCAAATATTGTAGAAAAAGTAAATAGACGAATCATCATATATCTTAGCATAGAAATAAACATTATGATGGCAAAACAAAAAGAAGTTTCTGATCGATAAATCTGACGTTTCATCTGACTTTGTTTTTAACAGATTATTTTAGATCCTGTCATATATCAATTACTCTGTTAGATAATTGAAGAAAAATGATTAGCTGCACAAGTACTGATCGATTTAGGATGGGAATTAGACAAGTTAACTAGAAGAAGGATTTAGGAATGAACAAGACATATTTATGAAGACCATAAATTTTTCAATTAGGGAAATATATGAAATCTGAGATATACAAAAAGAAAATTAGTATATAATCTTATAATGAGAGAGTATGTCGCTGTGATGCTCGACCAAATAAGGATGTCATCCATTGAGGTCTTTTTGGTAAAGTGTTATGTTTAGTTTGAGGTTTAGGAAAAATATCATTACTGTATGTGTTATTTGATAAATTACTTGAAAGATTGAGAAATAATTGTCGCCTAACTTGAGGAATTGATGAACGAATACTGAGTTCTTTAATCCAGCTAAATAGAAAAAAGAAATTAGATATTGATAAGCTTAAATAGATAAGAAAAATCTTATGTTACACTTATTAAAAAAGAAGCTAAAGTTACCCTAAATGATGAAGAGAAATTACGTGCCATATAAATGAAAATTTTCAGTACAGTTAACATGTCGATTTCGTCAAATCCATAAGATACATTCAAATTAGACTACTATTTTGATATTTCGTGAACCAAAATAGATTTACATCAAATGTAGTAGAAAATGGTAAAGAATTTATATCTGTCTATGAACAAATAAACCACAGCCTCAGAATCTTTAATTTCTAACAAGCCAGTAAACTACAATCCCCAGTAATAAAAAATATACACTTAAAAAAATTGACTGACTCGAATCAAGTTTGTTAGGTTAAACTATAATATACAGACGACCATGGGTGACTTATCAGCAAATTAGGAAACGCTACCTAGTTATAAAATAGTTAACAATGGAGAGTAATAACAGTGGAATAACAGATTTAATCGTGATAATTAACCCTCACAAGTCAAATTATACCTCGTAGTAACGAAAAAAGACAAATTCACATTATATATATATATATATATATATATATATATATATATATATATAAGGAGTGAAATTAATATTGTAAGTTGAGGTTTTCATAACCAACTAAAAATCATTTATAATGCGAAAAAGTTAGGGTTAGGTAATAATAGTTTAATTGGAGTTTTGAGTTACGTTTAGAAAATGGGGTCTGAGTTTTCAACACGAACTGAAATGAGCTATAATCTATTGCTTTATCACCATACTGTGTACAACCTTGAGAAACTTAGGGTTGGGTTTGAGAGTAAGATTATGAAAAGGTGAATATTTGAACTACATGACGTACATTAACATGATGTTTCTTAAGAGTATGCATTTTGTTATTTAGCTTAAGCCCCATCTAAAATTAAGATTTTGGTTGTACAATAGATATTTTCATTGATTTTAAATATTTTACGAACCAAATACTGTTAATTTGGTGAATAACGACATACATGTTATGTATCACTTCACTTTAAACTTCGCGTAAAATACATGAAGTGTTATCCTGTAATGACTGAGAACACCAGTGGGCACAACCAGATGTATAAATACAAAAATACAGAATCTCTCAGAAAAATCTTGGGACGATACAGAAAAAAACTTCATTTGAAAAATAACAATCAATCGTCGCAGACTTTGTTGTCCCTTCGTCTCTACATCAATCACTCTCTGTTCTCGCTCTCTTCTCTTCAAACTTATTAACCTTCTGTCGCCAGGCATTTTACTTTCGATTGGTGATACATACTACTAATATCTGTCGATATCGGTAGCACATACCACAATCTCAATTCCAATTGGTCGACTGAAGTGTTTCAATATATTATACATTTACAGCTTGTTAACTAAAAACATAAAGTGAGACTTAGAATTTTCAATAACCTTCCATTAGTAATTTCAAGATAATAATGTCGTAAAACTCTTTATTTTATAGTATAGGAGGAATTTATGAAAATTATTGAATTTGATAATTTTCCATCAATCCGTTCATGCAAAACTAAAAGTGCTTGCATATCATTTAATACAATCAATTTACTACTGATTGATCAATTATTACTATGATTATTGAAATAGAAATATGCACAAGTGAATTAAGAAAAATCTTTGAATTACCTCAATACTTTATAAGTGACCGACATTTTGAAGAGTACTTTGATTTAATTGTTGTTTAAAAGTGGTGATTGTTAAAATGTGTATAGTCTATACTTATTACACATATTTACTATTCAATAATAATCAAATGTTTGCCCTGTCCAACAATGACAGTTAACTATTTTAAAAACGGTGTTATAGCCTTCCAGTTTGTATTATAAGTATAATAAACGACTCAAAAAACGTGTTTGTTTATTTATTGAATGTTTTTACTCTGCCTTTTGTTGAATAGGCAGTGAGATGTAAAAACTGAGACATGTTTTAACTGCCATTAAGAAGTGTGTTGATTAAGATCAAAACATGCAAGAAAAGGACAATGAATTGAATCTGCATTTTGTTCACCAGCCATTGGAATAAGGTACTAAGTAAGGATGGTAAATTAATAGGTGAGTTAATAAATCTTTACCAACTAAGATGGTTAAAACATGTGCTACGTGTGTATGTGTATGTAAAATGTGTTAACGTCTACCTTGACGGATAATGCTGTCCGGTGAGGGGTAGGCTGGAAGAAAGCTAGGGGTGGGCAAACGAAAACAAGGCATCAGTTCATGAAGTCATTGACAATTGAACTGAGCTGTGTTAACAGGTGTAGATTACTTGGTTGGGGGCTGAATAATTATCGTAATCAATGGTTAAAAACTTTGAATGAAACGGCCCGAAATAGTTTGCGTTGACGCAGATGCATCCATTTTCTGTCTTTTCCTAAATATTGACCTTCTAAACTCCTCATAAATATTTTTGTGTTTTTATTTTAGTAATTTATATTTGCTTCTTGGATCGTATCTTTGATGCCTAATCTTTTCAGTCACTAATCATACTATTACTATTTCTACTGTTCTGTGATTTGGCCTGACCGACTGCTAATGGGGTATGGCAACTTGAACGAGTTTACATATATATACCATCTTCTACGTTTCGGTTGACCGACTGACCAGTGATTGAATAACGCCAAATATGAAATTCTCATAACATTACCTTACAGACACAACAGTGTGGATAAATAAAAATGTAAACTAGTGAAACAGTTAACAGAGAGGACCAAACATTCTAAGTCATTGAGAAACATGTATACATTTCTTCTCGATTCCTCCGGGCGTTCCAAATTACTGGGGTGCTTTTAGATTATTTGATCAAAAAAACTACTCACTTAGGAATCTTTATCACTAACAAAACAAGTTCTCAATAACACATCTAACTATTTTTCGACATCATTTGAAAGATATTTATATTGACAAGTAGATTTGGAGATCGATAATGTTACTTTACTGAAATCCAATTAATTTGAACACACTTTCTTCCGACTTCCAAACTGAATACAAAAGTTAAATGAACAGTAAATAGTTACACTTAGACCCGATGCTTTTTATGCAGCATCTTACTTAGCTATGTCATAAATGTGCGGTCTTATTACACTAATCAGGTGACATCTCTTGTAAACTGAACTTGAGCTTGGTAACTGAAAATAATTGTAAAAGGAGTGAAGTTTACTTAGGCATTTACAGTCTAGCGTCAGTCATGTTACAGATATACCGGTTACACTGTAAACATTTATTTCTATTTTCAACTAAGTTCAATGATCATCCACGAAAAGCGTATGTAAAAATTGTTAAATCTTACTATCAGTTTTCATTCGTTGATGTTTCTACACAGATTTCAACAGTTACAACCATCAAATCTTATATTGTATAATTTTATGATAGAACGAATATTTTAAAAGCTTGAACTGGTTTTCCAAATTATTATTTATTTTTTTGTATAATTATCAAGTAACTAGATTATGAATGTACACTCCATTTATCATAAGCTTTTAGTTGGCCCACTAATTACTGTTTTACAGTTTACTAGTCCTGACTTCTTACCGGTCTATTATTTAAAATCTTTCCTACTAACAGAAAATTTGGGCTTGTTTGTGTATAATTGTTATTTTATATTTTATAGTGTGATGCGGTACGGAAATATCATAAGATATAGTAACAGCTGGTTGCTGACTTTTAGACTCAAGGCAGGACATAGAAAAAAGTTAGCAGACTCTAGACCAATAGGGTCTTAGCTGTGCGGCAAAGGTTAGTAGTACTAATCTGGAGTATAGTTTGTCCATTCGCGGACACTAGACTTTCAAGAAAATAGTAGATGCGAAGTAGACCATATTAGAATTCTGATCGTAATCTGGGTCAGCCATCACAAGGCATAATACATACTTAACGTTTATGTCAAGTAACCCAAATGTAAAAGTCAATATGTAGAGGTGAACTATTAGTCAAAGTACTCGAACCCTAAAATTTGAGCTGCAAGTTCGAATCCTTCCACTGACAAAATGTGTGACTTAAAGCTAACTAAACAAAATTCTGTTCAGCGAATTTCATATGTAACTGGCAAGGAAGTCCAGGATGCGCGTTTTGACAAATTTTATTGTTGATATCACCACTGACGTTCGAACTCAGTGTCGCTTGCTAAAAATGCTAGCATGTTTTCCATTGAGGATACTGACTCTAGATAGCCATTACCTTGTTCAGCAGCTATGATGGTATTAGTAATGGCTAGTAACTTTCCATTATTGATATTATGAACCATAAAACCATACTGTTTCTAATTCTTATCAATTATTTAACTTTCAGAATGAAAGATTGTGGAGATTGTAGTAATTTTAATCTTTAAATTCATGAGCCGATCTAAACTAGTTCACCATTGAAAACCTGGAAGCACTGGACAGCCGTTTCGTCCCAGTTCTAGGTTTCTATGGGGGTCTAGCTTAGATCAGCTCATGAATTCAACTATTAAAATTATTTAATTGAAAGTCAATATACAAAACAAGATTGAAAATAACTTACGACTTGATATCTTCTAAAGCAATTAATTTACCACCTTGTTCTAGGTGCAACTCATCTCTTTCGACTAATGACAACATGAGAGAATTGTTTAGACCTGAAATAATAATAATAGTAGGATCAGGAATATTTTATCAATAATACAAGACAATAATACAAAATAAAATAAAGGATTCATTCACAACAATTTAATTTGAACCTCTTGAGATCGATTTGAGGTATTTACCTCGTGGTCATTTTTATTACTAAGATACAAAAAACATTGATGGCAAACATTTTGCTGGCAACAATTCATTTTCTTTCAACCTGACTCGAATCTATCATACTGTTTTACAAACTGATTTACTAAATTCTAAGCTGGAATTCATCAGATGTATCACAGTGTTACTGAAATAATTACTGCTTAAATTTAGCTGCTAAATCAAACAAAATCTACTGCTAATTATAAATTATTCATACACCCTGATAGAATCAGCCTTATTCTCTGAAATTCGTTCGCTAGTCATGGAAACGGCTCCCAGTGAACTCAATGAAGCTCTAAGGAGCTCTGGAAGAACTGAGGACATTCTATCCAGTCATCGTTTGAAAGGATATTTCAGAATCTCGGCCCGTAGCTTCCCGATTGGACAAATGCTAAAAACCATTGCATATGGACTGGACGATTGTAATGATGATTTTGTCTTTACTAAAAATATAAATACCCAAGTGTTTTGTACGATATTTGACTCTGGTTGGAATAAGTTTCCTTTTCACTTGTCTTTTGTCTTCTAACTTGAGACTTGGAGGGTTCAAGCGTTCGAGTGCTCAAGTTGTGGGCAGTATAGCAAAAATTCAAGTTCTAGATATAACATCAATATACAATGCATACAAAAATACTAATTAATCAGTTAACAAATTAATTAATTTGAAATTTATAAATCAGTAAGTAATAAAGACTGACCAGTTTTATCCGACCATAAAATGTTATGGATCATTACAAACTTATAAAATCTGATATTAATTTTCCTAGATATTTTCCAATATCGACTTAATGCACCAACAATGTCATTAAGAATGTTTATTCAATGTGAAGATAGTTCTTGATAATAATTTTTTTAAACAATTTAGACTACTGAATTCCAGTCTGTTATACAATATTCAAAACGAGAATAAATACAATCAAAACTATTGTTCTCACTTTCGATTCTAGAATGCAAATCATTCATAATAACTTTCAATTGAGAAATAGAGAATTGAATTAATTCTTCTTTGGATATTTGAAACTTCCTATAGTCAACTCGAAGCTGATAGATTGAAGGAAATAAATAGGGGAAAGTATTATCAATTTACTTTGGAGTATTGGAATATATGACATCAACTTGCATGGAAAATTATAAATTAACTGTAAATAAAACATGGATAAAAATATCCTTTTTAGTAATGTATATTTTCTAGTGAACAGAAATTTAGTTGGATCCAGTAGTCAATAAACAAATATAGATGTGAAGTCTTCAGGATGTGTTAAATATTTAGTAAGTCATATGCAAATAAGGACTAGAAAATTCGGCAGGACTATAATTTATAGACGAATCAATTAGATTCAAGATAGTGACTTCTGGATTTGGGTTAAATGATATCTTGACATTCTTGCTGTCAGTTTGTGATGAAAATTAAAACTTAAATTCCAAACTCTAACTATTAGTTCTAATTCCTTACACTAATTTATAACACTATTTTCGCCCTAGTAGGTGGTCAACGTTTCTCAAGGCCACTTTACCATGACTCAAAGGTTTTCCATAAATTACGGACGTACCAAAGATCTATTTCATTAAAATGCTCAAAAACACTGATATTTTCTTAACTGAATAAAAGGTTATATAATAAATTTTATAGTAGAATTGTAAAAGGTACTACATATTCTTTGAGTGCAATGTAGAGATGTTAAACTTAATTACTTACATAATGAAGAATAATTTTAATCGGGGTCAATAAGAAACTCATTCAAAACACGTAATGGTCTAAGACTTTTTACTTTACTGTGAATATTTACTAGAACCATTAAATAAATATTAGTACAAAAAATAACGATCAATTTGATGGAACCAAAATATATGCAGTTTAATGATCATTGAAGTTAGAGAAATCTGATTTACGATTGTATTTAAGATGAGCATAACACAAACTGATGAAATTCACTGAGTAGAGCTAAGTAGGGTTTAGTTGATTACAAGCTAGAATGGAGTGATCGTGAGAATATAAGATTAACAATCAGAAGCTCAATGTTTAGAGTTCGATAGAGAATCCTGGTTGGGGGCCTATGCTCTTCAACGAGGGGCAACAGGCGTAAGTAAGTAAGTAATCAAATAAACAAAGCATGGGAAATAAAAAAAACGTTGAGATTTTTTAAAGCGAACCCATTATTCTATCAATTACAAGAATTACTAAACGATTTTCAATTAGCCTGCTAGTTATTAATATGACTAGTGGTTAGGCTTCATCAATATTTAATGGTTTTTTTGTGTGTAACACTATTACTGATAAAGTGAATTAATTAATTTAACAATTTCCACTAATATTTAATCTACATTTCTCACATACACTTATGAATCTACATTATCTCACTGAACACAGTGAACATGTATGAACTAATTGGCAAGAAAAAAACAATATACATCCTTGTTAACGCCTATTGCGTAAAAATAAGGTAACTAAAATTCATTCCTTAACTTTTGTTCTACATTCTTTAACATCACTGTCTTTTTAAAGTGTACCCAATTCACTATGTCAACTAACAATAGATTATACTACTTTTAAAAGAAGATTTTAATAGAATAAAGTACATGGAAAGACTTTTTTTCATCTTTTCGGTTTGCTTAAATTCATATTTTAAGAAATGTAATTGGAAACTAGTAGGAATGTTAGAATCACATAGGTTTTATTATGGTCAGTATAATGTTGATCGTTGTTCACTATAAAGATGGTTAACATCACAAAACTATTAAGAATATTTGTTTGATGTTATAATTCATGATGGATATGTAATGGATGAAGTATTCTCAATGTATGATAGTAAAATTCATCACACAGTATTGTTATATCCCGATGACAATAAGGAATAGTAACTGTTAAGATTTATTTCTAGACTAATACTAAACGTATATTTTTATTGTATAATTTTTAAGTAACTAAACTATTCATATTCGTGTTCCTCTTATTATAAAGCATTATTTTGACCTATGAACTATTATTATACGATTTACCATTCTTGAGTTATGCCCAGTCTATCAATTACTATCTCCCACATTCACAGCCTTTTTTTGGCTAAATCTTGTACAAATGTTATTTTTTTATTTTATAGTACGATATGGTCTGTTTGGTTTGTATATAAACCCAGTATGTTTGAAACACAGATTCATATCGCAGAGGATGAGATCAGTGTTCTGGACTCAACAGGCAAGGCTAGGTAGGAAGCAGGATCGATAAAGACTCCAGACTGCTTGTACCGGTTTTATGCGTCATTGATCCAGTCGATAATTCACTGTTCTTCAATTGGCGATATCATTACGTTATACATTAATGGGGCACAAACCCACAAGTTACCACAAATATGAATATAAATTCAAATACAAACTACTTATGGTACAGTTGCTCTTTATAGTATCAAATTATATATATATATATATATATATATATATATATATATATATATATATATATATAATTTGATACTATAAAGAGCAGTGTTATTGTAAGTTAACCTTTAACTATTATGTTACCAAAAAATCCCAAAAATTCATAAGGTTTATTAGATTGATGGATTGTTTATAGCAGTGGAATGCAAGACATGTGTTTTATCCTGTTGAGACTTGCCAGTCATATGTACCTGCATAACAACATTGATGTTTATACAGGGACTTGGAAATAATAGTCTTTTGCTTCAATAAACAATACAAATGTTGGTACCAAGGGACTACGCATAGGATATACATTAACCAGTAGAGAATGATCAGAATTTATTCCTTAATATCAGAAATAGGAAAACTTTAATCATACAAAAAATCCATGATTTTAAGTTCCCCAAAAATTTATTGTTCACTTAATGAACCCTCAAAAGAACAATTTCAATATTTATTTTGAGCAGATATTTGAATGATGATGATTATATTACAATAATAACATAGGCAATATAAATATTACAAAGTATTGAGTGAAATAATAAGTCTGAAACATGACGTATTCTTTTCGTAAAGAAAAAATAACCACACACAAGAAATACTTCTTAGTAATCAGTCCCACCCGATTATCGATTAACTAGGCGTGGATTAAATAAATCCTGATGAAGATTTTATGCAAGAATCAATATGTACGAAATAGAAATCTGAAAACAATCATTAATCTTATATCGTTACAAAAAATATTCTATAAATAAAACTGATAAACATTGCCAGAAAAGTAGACAAAGAAATAAAGTTGTGGATTAGTTGAAGTTAGACATTAACACTGTTAGACGCCGACTCAGTGGTCTAGAGGTTAAGCGTTCACTCGCGAGACTAAAGGTCCTAGATTTCGAGTCTCGCGTGCGGGTTCTTGCATGAACACTGTTGAGGAGACCCATACTAGGATGAAACTAGTATCCAGTGTTTCCAGGTTTTCAATGGTGGTCTAACATCGATCGGTTCATGATCTCAATTGAAATAAAATTAGTTTAGTAGTATTTTTAAGAGGCAAACCAGATACAAAAGTAGAGATTTTGGGATTCATTTATCTAGTAAATAATCAAAATATTGAAATATCCCAGTAAAAACAGAAACATTAGTCTAAAATTCTGTAAAATTAACTTATCTATTCAGAAAATCTTTTCTTCCCAAGTCAATTATACTTAACTATAACAAAAAACAATTGTATAAATATTCGTAACAGAAAAATGATTATTATTGTTTAAGTAGACGACATGTAACTCTTGAACATGCTTTCTTACTTCTTTCCACTTTCGAGAGTGTAAATAAAGATGCATAAATAAATCACAAGTTTATAAAAGTAATATGCATTCACACTAAAAATACTTTTATCTAAATTAAATTTTAACTACTTAATAGTTTAACAATCATTTTCTATCTAATATTCGAGTTTTTAAAATATCATTATACCCTAATGGGTAATCATGCGATATGTATTTCAATGTATTACGCAACAGTTATAAGATATATGAAATTACGCAAATATGGATTGTTGCTATCAGTGGAATCCAGGAGGCGTGTTTCGTCCTATTTAGGACTCTTCAGCTGGATGTACCTGCATCTCAGAGTTGATGTTCACTCCGAGATGCAAGTATATCCAGCTGACGAGTCCTATATAGGACGAAACGCGCTTCCACTGATAGCCACCATCCATCTTTGCCTATAATGCTCGTGACTTAAGGCAATATCGAAGGAATACGCACAGTATACCTATATGCCAATAAGAGACTGATCAATTACAGTCCTAAACATCAATACGAAGATTCAAGTAAACAATACCAAGTGAATTCATATGAAATGTAGTCTTTAAAATAGAGCGACTTCTCATCCAAATGTTTGTCTGTAATAAAAATTATCTATGTGATAAATATAAATATGCTACGATTGATCAGATTAGACAGATCAACATTGAGAACTAGATTTCCATAAATATAATATACATAACGAATTTCCTTATACGTTAACCATAACTTGAAATACAAAAGCGTGTCAAAAAGTTAAGAATTTATCCACCCAATCCTTCTAACATGTTAAAACGATTCATTTTTCGTCAATTATTTAGGCAACTAGAAATTGTAAATTGTCTCGAACGATAATAAAATGTAATGAATATGGAAAGTCCAACAGGCATCCTTTAACCATTTAACTATGATAAATAATTAAGAAAATAATTTTACTCTAATTGACGTTAGAGAACTAGTGATCGACCAATATACGGTCTAACTAACAGTTTCACAGTAATTGCGCGCTGAGTCAACATAAAACATCAAGGATGAAAAATATATTTATAGAATCTCAGACACTGAATTTGAAGTACATGGTTCTCCGGTTAATCGTATACTAAATTGGTCATCCAATCATGTTAAAAATGTTGAAAGTAAGTATTTACTGTAGTATGTATGAGACCATCTGATGTGCAACGAAAATTGTGTTAAGATAACAAATTGTGTGTATTTGTAAAGTGATCTAAGGTGTGAGAAGAAATTTCATGGAGTATTTATCACCCCTAAAATATAAAGTCAGTATGAATAATCATTTACTTCACATTTGGTCGAATACATTTTGTGACTTAACTACATTTCTATCCTAACGTGTTTGTAAATGAACAGAAGGATAAAACTTTATTCATTTGTAACTTTTCAGTACATCATATGAAATTCTATCCAACTTCATTTTACTGTTCCCGTATATTCAGTCTTTTTTTTAGATTACAATTATTATCAACTTAACGTTATTTCACATCACAGTTAACTCTTTAGCCCAATAGTCAATTTTTTGATTTAACACTACAATCAACACATTATCACATTGATAAGTTCTATTACAGAAAAAAATTCTTTACAGTTTTTTTAGTCAGTCACAGTTACCTCACTGAATTCAATCTTCTTCGTTTAATATTTTACGAAAAAAGTACATTTCTGAACCAAAAGTACTAGAGATTTTCATCTTTCCCTTTGGAAACCCTATACATGATTATGAAGACAATTAGCTAAGTGAAGGTTTGTTGTTAACCATAACTTCATGCCTGAATCATATCTTATACTTCGGTGAATCTTAACTCATTAGATACTACTGAACAACCTATAAATATTTAAACAATAATCCCATTGAAATTGACGAAAACGCTTAAGTTGACAATTTTATTCAGAAGAAACCCAGAATCGAAATAATAACATTTTAGAGATAGGAAAATGGAGTACCAATATTTTAGGAAATGAAGTATGGTGGCTGTAATCATGGACACGCGTTTTTTCCTATATGGAGCTCATCAGCTGAATGTACATTAATTTATATCAATGAGGTGAACTAAACAACCAATATATATCAGAATATCAATATGTTTAACAATTAACATAAAAATAAACCTCTTTAATGTAATCACGAAATAGTTGACTCACTAATGTTGCTATATTTGGAGTTATCGATGAAATCTTTGTACGTTCAACTTCTGCTTGCATTGCGGATATTTTTGGAACCTTCAATAAAGAAAATTTCAATGAATCAACATTACTAAAATACTGATTACATAATCATGAATTCATTTGTATGTATCCAAATGCATGTAATCAAGTGAATACTTAAAGTAAATTTTAACAAAAACGACTCGGGATTAGAATTAAATCGTAAATTTTAATTAGATATTTCAATGTTATATTACTAAATTTGGTAAACTAAGTACACTTAAGGTGGTTTATTATAAATTCAATAGAAAAAATGGCTTATTATTATTTGAAAGTTCCCGTTAAACATTGTTCATAAGTTTTGACAAAGCTTAGATAATAATGACATATCATAACAAAAATGGACTTTAATGGTATCTTTCTAGTTAATGAAATATGAATAACAGAAAATCTTTGACAAAAATCTTTATTAGTGAATTTAAACTAACTTAATATGAATTCTTGACCAATCTTAGTCAGTGATTTAATATCATTAAATCTAACTAAAATATTACAGTTTTCAGTGGACCGGGATCAGACTCCAAGTAAAATCGTTTGTGATCGTTATTGAGATATACATACCGTCAATCTTCGTATATAATCATGTTTACTCCACCGCTTGTCATATCGCTTCGCTTCTTCGATATTTTTTCTGGATCAACGATTGTATCAAATATAAGTATTTGAAATTCATTCGCGTATTTGGCTTATTTTATTCAGTTATTGAATAACGCGATTTAAGTCGATGAAATATACGAGGATAGGTGACATGTATATTTCGACAGAAATCATTCAATGACGAACATTCATACAATCTAATTGGAGTCAGATCCCGGGCCACTAAAAGTTATTTTCAAGTACGAAATAAATTATTCAAAGAATTAATTAGTGAAATGAAAATGTAGAAAATATAAAGCGATTTCGCATTATTCACATAAAATCTAGACATATAAGCTGAAGTTTCTAAACGGTCACATTTGTATGTAGCTGAATATTAAGGAATCACAACAAGAGCATTGATAAACAATACAACTACTGAAAAACTAAGAAGCCTCTTGACTCAGACTATGATGCAATTATTCAATTAATACCTCTACAGTACGTACAAATTATTTGATCATATTTTATTCTCCTAACGGTGAGACTATAATTTATGGACGGCCTTTGAGTGACGCCAAAGTGAACATTGAAAATGTTCACCTATTAACTAGTAATAAATGTGGGTTATAAATCAGTGTGAGGAATTACAATTAGAATTAACAGTCGATGGTCAGGGTTAAGAATTAGATTTAGTCTTTTTATCACAAAAATTCCAAAACGCTATTTAGCCGAATGGATGATTGAATTTCGCACCAAAATCCAAGACCTGTTACCTTATATCCTATTGGTTCATCCATAAATTATAGTCTCGCTCTCTTAAATGTTTCAATTATTTGTACTTATTTATTCAGATGGTCAAAAAAATACATTCAGAACATTGTTTTTGAATATAACATCAACTGGATAACATCTTCAGGATGGAATACAACATTTATATTTCAAATAGTTTGAATTATATCAATTATAACCTTATCGATAGTTTTTTTTCTCACCCTAAACGATAATATTTTGAACTTTTATGGTAACTAATACACCATATTATCTATTTTGCTCCAAATTGAACGTACATTAGCTTAACGTTCATTTGTAAATCGAAATTTTAGCTGTGACGATCGGTTAATAGATAAATCTTAAATGATCAAAATATATAAGATGACTGTTTCAATTTTAAAAACATACTATTTTATTAATTTATTACTTAATAATATCTTAAAATATAGAAAACATACATATTTAGAAAACTTGCTTATCTGAAAGCAATACAACGTTATTTGGCATGTACTACAGATTATCTAACAGAGTAGTGTAGACTAATGAAATTGGACAATCGAACGGATTACTATTGACCAAAAATGGATTAATCTGTTATTCAGCTATTCAAAAGAAATCGAATCACTCTAAATATTGAGATAAACACAATTCTCATTCCGTCAAACACTTAAATTATTACAGATATTATTATTACAAATATTAAGCAAGGTAAAGTAACTCTTACAACATATATGTGGTATCAGTATAATTGATTTAGACTAACATACACAGATACTACTTCATACATTCAATTAGATAACTTTCCAAAATATGACTGAATTGCTGTAATACACAATCATTTACATTAAGTACAGTCATCACAAACTTTTCATTAAAAACGAAATACTTTTGTTGTGTTAAAGAGATTATAGTAAGACAGAGAAATACGAATCTGTTAAATATATTCTATTCAAACTTATTTGTCGATCCAATATTCAATATATATTCATCGATAATCATTTTATTACTTGTCACCTCAAAACTCTGACTATTTTCAGTCAGAGACAAAGAAAATATTTAAACTATGTGTATTTTTCAGCCCTAACAATGTTGTCATGACAATATAAAAAAATCAATGTGGTGAAGGAGGCAAAAAAAATTTTCTTGTTTATCCTCTAGCCTCATTCTCATCTAGATTCAGTCATCTAGTTAATTTTCTTCATGATTATAATTACCGCTATATTTTTATTGATTTCAGTGGTATTGATGTGGTAAAAACCCATAATGATGGTTGTCCTTTTAGTTTATGGATACCACACCCTAGTAATTAGAAGATAAGTGAAAAAAACCTGTTCAAATGATCTAAATACAGGTAATAAAACCATTCAAATAACAAAATCAATATATTATTTAGGTTGCCAATTACGATCTTTTAAGACAACTGATAATCAAATTAATCCAAACTATTGATTGATTGGTAAAAAAAAACTTAACCAGATACGATTCCATGGTATAGGAGAATGTCAACCAACTGTAAATCTAATATTACAAACCTAAATTAACCTACCTTTGATAAGATAACCAAAACAGTGCTGTTTAGTAGACTAGCTTATCAGTTACTAACTATCTTCGACTGATTATTCGTCAATTGTTGGATAAAATATGATTTTATGAATAATATCAAACTCCATAATCATTCGACTTCGAACAAACCGCTACTATGTTTAACATATTTACAATTGATTGATTAACTAGTAGTGACCAATGCCATGTACATCATAATGTTCTTAATACTGATCCGATCCAGCATTCTACTCACTAGTCTGAGGGATTCTACATAGTAACCAATATGTTGAAATATAAGGTAGTTGGAGATGGTCGGTAAGGAACCTTGGATTTGGGCTACATACACTCGTTAGTAATGTGTGGGGGGAATTGGCACTTCCCGGATGATTCTGTCCCGTGTCACCTAGCTTCATAGTTAAATACGCTGTCATAATACACCATATTACTTGTCATCCTGATAACTCAGTAATAACATCTCTGACTGTGAAACTGAGAAACACGGCACAGAATCTGTTAAGAAACACTAGATCCCTTGAGGTCACTAGAACACTCTGCTGAAGAACCCCAAAGAGCACAAAACCTAGGTCTAAAGTTTCCTGTCGACTACCTACTGTCATGTCAAATACTTATGCGCACTAGGTAATCTTATAAAAATTATTAAGGCCCATTTCTTTCATAGGACAGACGTAATGAAGTAAATAATTAAGTAAATCTTTAGTGTAAAATACATTTTTTATGAAAATTCCAGACCCTTCAGTAATTTTAAGTTTACCATATCAATACAGAACGCTCGCTTCGTTTGACTTAGGACGCGTCAGCTGAATATATTTGGATCCTAATGTTGATGTTCGCATTTAAGCTCTAACTCAGCATCATTTGTTTTAAATACCCAGCGTATTATCCGCTGAGCTAGCAAATCCAGATACCAATTAACTACTTGATAACTTTCAAGCAAACTAGCTAGTAAGTAGTCAATACACCATATATTCTAAGAAATAACTAAAATTTTGATTAGTCATGTTTTAAGAGTTCTATTAAACAATTATGAAAAAGCTTAAGGTCTACTGAATTCATCAAAACTAACTAGCATACGGAATTTCAGATCTTAATTTAATTACAAACAGACGAGTTAGGTTTATTGTTTGTAAACAAGCTTAAATATTACGATTGGATAAATATTAGACCACCATTGCAAACTTGGAAACACTGGACGGCCATTCCGTCGTAGTACGGGACTCTTCAGCAGTGAGTATCCATGATCTCGCATGAGGGACTAGAACCCAGGACCTTCGGCCTCGCTTGAGAACGCTTAACGTTTACACTACTGAGCCGGCATCCAACAGTGTTGATGTCTAACTTCAACCAATCAACGACATTATTATGTGCTCACTAGTGACTGGCTTCAAGATAAGTCTTCTGGAGTTCTAACAACAAGTCGTGGCTAGTAAAGTTCATCTGTGTCTGTTATAGAGGTAATTCCACATTGCAGACAATGATGGACGGTTGCACAATTGATTGCAGTCAGACATTAACACAGTTGGATGCCAGCTAACTCAGTGGTCTAAGGGATAAGCGTTCGCCCGCGAGACCGAGAGCCCTGAGTTCATGTATCGCGTGTGGGATCGTACATGCGAACTGCTGAGTCTCATATTAGGACGAAACGGCTGTCAAGTAATTCTAGGTTTTCAATGGTGGTCTAACATTCATCCATTTACGATATCGATTGAAACTCAACAATCTCCACAACCCTATATTGATAAGCTAAAAAATGTTATTGGTAAAGTTGAGAACTCATCGAACTGAATTTTAAACTCCAGATATTTGGAAGCCAAGAAAATTTTAACTGTTTCAGCATAACAAAAACGTCGTTTCGCATTAATTAACATAATTTAAATAATACCCCTTCAGTGGAATTTCACATTATCCTACCTTACATTAAGTAATGCAGTTTTGTGAACAATTCTCGGTAAACGTGAATGATCATTAAAATTTTCTTTAGAAGAATGATGATGATGATATATATATATATATATATATATATATATATATATATATATTCAATTAAAATTACTTTTGAATATATCATTTACAGCCCGTATGCACTGAAGATACTATACTGATATATTCACAGTGTTCAAATTAGAAAACAAATGAACTCAAGGTCACACGTGAAGTCTAATATTCCAGATTTGAATTCAATCGGATTTTAATGATTTCATAAACCAGCTAAGAAATACTTATCTAATAGAAAGTAATTGCTTCAGAGAAACTAGTCTTATCATTCAGTTTAATGTCAGTTTATGTGATGATTCACTTGACAATAAAATTTAAGATAACTATCCTATAATAATAAACTATAAGATATGACTATGGCATAACAGATTGTGATACTAATCAATGGTATGACAGGAATAATATGATATTTGGATGCATTTTAATTTAACTAATAAATATGTACATTATTCAATCATTATTTCTCAAATGTTTTGTTATTAAAGAAAGTGAGCATATTCAAAGAAACAATTCGGTTAATCTTGCAAAGTTTCCTAAGATAATGCGTTTAATATAATCACCATGTTGGAAGGTACTATTTATAGCCGCCTATTAAATAATTCAGTAACAAATAATTATCTATATAATTTATATAAGGTTCAACTAAGAAAAACGAATACAAAGTAAATTAATCATCTTACCTGAATAATAGCAATTTGTGTTTCTGTTTGAAATCGTTTATGATTCTTTATTAGTTCTTGTAAATAAACAACAGATCGTGCATCAAAACAATCTTGTCTACATTGATCTAATAATCGTTCATAATACATATTGATCTAAAATTAATAGTATATACAATAATAATCAGTTAATATCTTCTGAATGTAGCAGATTTCTAACTTGTAAACCATTATTCACTGAACTAATGACGGTGTTAGGATTTCATTGAGAAATCTATGAATGTGAATACGGTGACAAATATATCCAACAAGTTAACTGAATAACAAAATCTAAAGTGAAACTTTATTCCTTGCATAACTGTAAAGTAATTATTAGAAGAATATAGAACTGAAGCTAGTGAATATTCATTGAGTTTATTGACAATTTGTTTAATTTGTAGGTGTCATTCATTACAGTGCAGTGACCAGTGAAAATGAAAGAGAAATGGATAGTTGTTGTGTCCTAGTATGAAACTTCTCATAAGGGTGCACGGCCTCACGAAGAATAGAACCCGGTAATTATCCTTGGTTTAACCACATTTCATTATATATTTTGATTCAATCAAATAGAAAATATAGTATGAGTTATAGATAATTGTTGAAAACTGGGTATATTTCTGTGGTCATTATTGACTGGCGATTTCCCTTGACGGTCAATACCTCATTTATTTCCTTTATTATTTTGTTTGTTGAATGTTCAAAAGTACAATTATAAGCTTTTGTGAAAAAAACACCTACCTCATTGATTTCCATTTAAAATCTCATAATGATAATATGTAATTGAAATACAACCGATTCACATATCAAATCACTCTGCTTAAATTTCTAATTTATTCACATTCCATCAATTCTAATACTGAATCAATGAATGTTTTTAAAACGTTTTATTATACTTTATTAATACCATTGTTAGGCCTCCCAGTGTATTATTACGCTTATTTTAATGAAAAGACAACTTTGTGTTTAGAAAAGGTATACGCATCATAAAATCAATCTAGAAATACAAACTGTAGTTTTACTATGGATATAGTGATTAAACACTTAATTACTTTTTGAATGTTTTATTTTCTATCGTAAATTGTAATTTGATGAATTAAAATTACATTTAACCAAAATCTTTTAAGAATTTCACAGGCTGAAATCATGAGTCAATTGAAGCTAGACCACCATGGAAAACCTGGGAGCACTGGACGGCCGTTTCGTCCTAGTATGGGACTCTACGATCTCGCCTTCCGCGGGATTCGAACCCAGGACCTACTTGTTTCGCGCCCAAGCACTTAATCACTAGACCACTGAGCCGGCATCGATTGGTGTTAATGTCTAACTTCAACCAATCCACGAAGTTGAGCCACCGTACACCATTGTCTTCAATGAGTTGATATCTCACAACAGACCTGGTTGAACTCCACTGGTAACGGCTTCTCACTAGAACTCCAGAAGTATCTCCTGAAATCAGTCACTAGTGAGCAGTTGATTGTTATCAGAATGATAATATCTTTAAAGTTATTTGTTATTTCTAGTTGTATAAAACTATTGACGTAATTGAAGTTGTTGTAATAGTGAGAATGAATGCAAATATCAAACAACCAACCAGTAAATGAACGGGAAAAAAATGGTTGAAAACTTTGGATATGACACTTGGTGAAATGTCACAAATGACCTTCAGCCATACTTTTGTATATCATATTAAGCTAAGACAATTATTATTAATTTACAGATAGAAACAAGAACGTAATAAGAAATGTATGATTATTCTCTAATAAATGAATCAGTATAATTTTGGTAAGTTATTCTATCATATTTTTGTATAATTTTAACTATAAACTGTTTAACGATTTAGTTAAACGTAAATGAGTTTTTCAGTTTGGTCCTAGTTATAGATCTATTAAGGTTTATAAATCGTTTTATGTCGTGATCTGGTATTTAGTTAACACTATGATATGGGTTATCAATTAAAATAACAACGATACTCAGATATATATAGAATTCATCTAGGCTTATATTTTTCCAACTAGATATTGCAAAAAGACAGAAATATTCAAGGCTTATTGATTGTCTAAAACAAAATACAGCAACGCATTTGGTAGATTAATTGTTAAGGGCGTAGAAAACTAACTTTAAATTTTAACTTGACTATTTACGAAACGAAAAAAAACTAAAATCCTACTGAATAATGATTTTAGAAATAATTTATTGTTTACAAAATATCATTAGTTATAACCAACTAATGTGTTGGCCCCCAAATGCCCTGGTACGGTCGAGAGTGGGGAGAGTCCGCTCTCTCTCTCCAAATGCTCTCACATGGCCACGCGTATTTAGCCTCTGCCAGGGAAGTCCTACTCACTGCTTTATCGTGGCGGAGTTGTTGTTTACGAAAATGAGAGGATGAAAAGCGAATGTCCGGCGCTTTAACCGGATTCCAAAACATTGATGCACATGGGCTCCAGTATCCTGTGGGAACAAATGGCGTACGAACCAATTGTTGGTCACCGGCTTCCATGGGACTGCATCTCCTTACGATGCTCCACTGCCTTGTGGATTAGACCTTCAGGTCGAAGGCTCGGAGAGTGGCCCCCTAAGAAGACCACCTGCCTCGGTTTGGGCACCCGAGCAGTATCACAGCCCTCACACATATCAAATGAGATTTTTGTGGCGCATATGTATTTGATGCCTCCTTGTACCAATATCTATGTTTTAAAATAAATAAATAAACTAATTTGTTAATCTAACCTTGATGTGATTTACCAGCAAATAACATAATAGCTAAGATTAAAGTGATTTGATGACTTTCAACAAATATTGGTTAGTCTTGAATTTGTGTATTATTTTTTTCAAAGTGATTAGGTACAAAAATATATGGTTGAAACTGTCCTATATAGAGAAGTTTTCATTGTGAATTGACTTCAACTCGTGAGCCATTGAAAATCCAGGGAACATATTGGACAACTGTTTAATCCTATTGCGGAACTTCTTAGTAGTGTTGAGATATATCCAGTTAAATATCAAATATGATGTGATAGATCATATTAAAACAATTCTAAAATTATTATTATTCATATTATAAAAATGTCATAAGAAAAATAAGTTAAATACACATTATTTGACAGACCTCATTCAATAAATCAATTAAATTAACTGAAGATTCAAAAGCTAATAATAAAGATGATCTTCCAGATATTGATGAACTTGTACGATTCTTTTCATTTTTATGATTTACAAAAGATGAATTACCATTCAATGTTAGTCTCTGTGAATTATTATCATCATAATCTTCAATACTATTCAAACTAATTTCATTGTCATTCAATGAGTTAATTGTTTGAATACTATCATTTGTTTTAATACAGTTAACAGCTGAAAATAAATTAGTTTCTATATTATTTTGTCCAGTTCTATAATCATTATTGTCCAAATAAGGTTCAGCAACTATTGCTTCCATGGAAGAGAACAAATTTTGTTCAGATATATTTAAAAAGCAAATTTGTAACGCTGGATTATTTTTCTAAGAATTAAAAAGAGAAAACAACAACAACAACAAAACAATGGATGAATTGTATGTTTATAAATTACTCATATTTTAGTGCTTTGAACAATGAAAAAAAGAAAAAAAAAGGAGAAAAATCTAATGTTTATAACTTACATTAATTTGTAAATGAAATACCAATCCATTTGATTTAAATTAGTGTCATTTTATTATTTAGAGAATTATAATCACTTTTTTACAGCATTCAATAATTAGATTTACATCCTGACTGACAGTTTACAAGTTAAAATAATAAAATCAGATCTAACTAGATCTGTAATTTTAATAAATAAATAAATGGAATTGTGTATAATCATAATGAAATAATCAATCAATCAACCAATAGAAACACAACTTGCATATGATTGGATAATTATGCATTTCAAGGTTATTTGAAAATTAGTAATAAATTAATTTACAATATAAAATAATTAATTATAATTTGTAAATAAGACTTTAAATAGTCTTAGATTACAATAATATTATACATAAAATGGATTGTTATCAGTGTTGACATTTTTATGAATGTAAGTAAACAACACATAAAATGCAGATATATTTCATATATTTATGAATATTTAGTGTTTATTAACAAAACGACTAATTGTTAGAATAAAAAAACAATATGACAATGAAATACTTTTCTTCAAGAATTTCCAGTGATTTTTTTCTGGTTGGCGTTGAAAAACATCTGGAACTAAAAATAACTGTCAACTAACATTAAAGCCAGAATTATCAATACAAATGTTAAAACATTTCTACTGTATGGGGCGGAAACCTAGAGAACTACGAAAGCAGTCATTCAGAGGATATAAGTGTTTATTAAGAGATGCCTACGCGAAATACTTCGGATCTGTTGGCCTAACATCATCAGCAACAACCTATTGTGGAAGAGAACAAACCAGATCCCAGCGGAGGAAGAAATCAGGAAGAAGCTCTGAAAGCGTATAGGAAACATATTGAGGAAAGCATGCAACTGCGCTATAAGGCAAGCCTACACATGAAATCTTCAAGGCCAAAGGGGAAGAGGAAGACCGAAGAATACATTACGTCGAGGAATGGAGACAGATATGAGATAACATAAGCTGTCTACTGATGTCTACAAAATAGTTCGTATTCACCTGACATTCTAAGCACTGACTATTTAAAATCAAGAGAAACACTTTAAAATGAATTCTTAGTATGCTAGTTTTAGAATCAGAAGAGAGTCAGTTTTGAAGAGTTGTTAAATCTTTAATTGAAATTTTTCATGCGAATGAACAATGAAAATGTCAAAATTCTTAGTTAAGAGCATTTTAAGAATGCTGAAGAATTTCTGTAAATATTCCATATAGAACAATTAACCGGATCTATTAACCAATACGGAGAAAGTTAATCAACCACATGATCAATGGTCAAACGAACAAGATGGTAAGCTTGAATACAAGGGTAAATAAAAACAATGAAGCCTGAGAAAACAAGCAATTAAAGACAAGACCAATAGAACGAACTGACTTAACGCTTGTGGCATAACCAAAAATTTCACTCATAAAAAAATTTAAATAAAATAAACGTTGATGACGTGATAGGATGAAAAAGAAAAGTTCACAATTCAACGATCTGCCTGTGTACAAATGCTTAAAAATATCTACATAAAGTGCCATAAAAGATTGATACCATTGTAATAAAATCTCCAGGTAATCATAATATCATTTACCCAATGTGACAATTTAACAATTTATATATAAAACTTTTATGAGTTTATAATAAAGCATAAACCTTACTATGTTTTAATGGTAATTTACTATTTCATCACTATCAACTTATATGATGCCAATCGGGCCTCTAATTTTATGGAATATATTTGTTACGTCCTTGATCTGTCTACCCACTTTTGTACAGTAGATATTTGACTAATCTAGATTAAGACCTTGACGCGATAGGCTGACCAGCTTAATCTTGAGGCTAGTATGCGTGAGTTCGAAGTGGAGTAGAGAAACGAAAACTATTCTATCACCTGATTGACTGACAAGCGCGCAAGTAAGAGAAGACAAGTCAACTGGAACACTACTCAATTTATTCCCAATTCTGATTTGGTTGCTGATTTCATATTAGTCTAAAAGTGTACATAAATAAATAAATGACTAACCTGACTATTGACAGATAATTCCCATTTAAACATTAAAATTAAAACACGAAGTTCAATGAAGGGATCTCTTTTCAGCGAACTTATTATCAAGCTGTACAATCGCATATATATGAAAATTTTGTTTTTGTAAAAGTAATAATTCCGTGAGGAAATGTGAACACAGTTAATAAAAAAGGTTATAATACTAGATTACGTAATACGAATAATAACAATAGATTTAGTGAATATAATAAGATGATTAAAATGAATAAAAATGTTTTTGTCAACCGGTGTGCATATACACAATATTGAAGCTATGTGGTCGAGGCTGAAAGTTTTTGAGACTTTATCATGGCTCCAGAGGCTGACTATTCTGTAACCGTATGGATGATTTCTTCTACTGCATGCATTACGATTTTAGAACCTAAGAACCTCTTTCTAACCTTGACAAGTTTTTGAACCATGTATAAGAAGTGTATCCACTTTATTTCCTTGGTTTTGGATAACATATTTTTACTTTATACTAACTGTTTGCTGATTGGCTAATATTCATCAAGGTCACTTAAGATTCGTTCAAAGGTCGTATATAAATTAGTGTCTCGCCACTTTTTCTAATCTAATGATCCTATTACCAATAATTGTCAGGTGTCAAATAATTCCATTTCTTTTTTCTTTCAGATGAGCCAATATTTACTCTAATGAAATTACTAATTACTTTCAATGAAATACATTCATTTGCTTTGATAATATAACGAATGAATGAATGAATAATTCACAAGCCTAAATATTTATATTATTAAAACAAATAAAGTAATCCGATATAATTAATAAAAAGATCTATCAATCATTCTGAATTGAGTATACTATTAAAAATGTGTTATATACTACCATTATTAGCAAATATTGATATACAAACATAATTTTAATTCATTATTAAATGATCATAGAATAATACATGAAAGAAGAAAAAAAGGAAAGAAGAGAAAACAACAACAACAACTAAAGAAAATGCATCGATTTATTGTGTTGAGTGGTTAATTATTCATACAGAAAAAAATTGATTTTTTTCGTGTGGTTAACTATTACTCTTTTAAATTCACACTTTATTCCGGTAATTTAATGAATGGTTATACTTATAAATAATCATTAAATTTATTCGAAATCACGAACTGATTATTATTGAAAACCTGGAAGGAATGAACGGTCATGTTGACTTAGGATGAGATTCTTTGATAATAAACATCCATGACCCTCCTTAGAGGAGTTGAACTTGAGACTTTTGGTCTCACAAATGAATCCTTAACATGTAGACTAATGAATCGGGTTTAAATGGTGTATCAGCTTAAATTTAATCAATCCACAAACGTCTACTTTTAGTGGCCCTATTATCTGACTCCAACTAAATTGTATAAATGATTGTTGTCAAAATATATATCCTGGCTATCCTCGTTTATTTTTATAGAATTAACGTGCATTGGTGAATAATAGAATTTAAATAAGTCAAATACGAGAATGAATGTTTGAATACATATATTTTGTATAGTCGTTGACCCGAACAGATAATCAGAGAATCGCAGCGAATGAAGCAAAGAGAAGGCGAAGCGAAACGAAAGGACGAACAATGGAAAAGGCGCGTGAGCCAACTCCATTTAATCGAGCGTTAATATTTGTAGCCAGATAAAATAAGTTACAGACATATGATGAATAGGATCAGAAGTGTACACACACATACGCTCATATAAAAAGTCAGGGTTGATAAGTGAATAATTTACATGATCAAAATGTGACTCAAGAAGAATGGATAAATTTACCTGTCCTGAAGGTAGAATAAGTTATGTGGGCTTGACATAGTAACGGACACTACAAACTGATAATCATCAAATGCTCACTAATAACTAGCTTCGAGAGGAAACACTCAGATATTTAGTGATAAGTTGCAACCAATGAAGATAAAGTGTGTCAAATATATGGAAGGCAGCTACTGAACACAGTGGAAAATAGTCACGAAATATGAAAGAATGGTTGCACCCCGGTTCAATGGTCCAGAGGTTAGATGTTCGCGCATGTGAGATCTGTAGAGGGTTAGATCCTCGTTTTTCAGAGTCATGAATTCTCACTAGTGAAGAGTCCTACACTAGAACGAAACGGCTATAAAGTTTTTCCAGTTTTCCAATGACTGCTTAACTTAGATTAGTCTTTGATTTAATTTTTCACATACCATACTAATAATAAGACTTAATTGGAAAAGATTATGTCGTTCTATAACTAAGTTATTGATCATTAGCAAACGTTTGTCATCATGACACTAACTAAGATAAATTAACCTAAGTCATTAATATTCTAATTTCTGCAGGGCACTTGATTCGTAGCTAATTATCTCGCATATTTATGATTTCATCAGTAGACAACATCTCACACAATAATATAAGTGATTACGAATGAGACTGTTTCAGTCTGACCTATAATTATATTAATAATGTAAACACGTTTTTAGCTTAGCTTGAAGATTTGTGTAGATTTTTTGTTTTTTTAAAATCGGAGGACAGGTCTTACCATAGACTGATAATAACAAATCTTGTGTAGGTGGATATTTCAAAGATTGAGTGATTTGTGAAGTTTACTAAGAGTTATCTCATCCTGCCAACAAGAAACACTTAATTGTTGGCAAATTTGACTAGTCTTTCTCAGTATTGTAGTCAGCAAAATAAGAATAGATGGAATGTAGTTGGCAGTGGAATTCAGGACACCCATTTCATCCCTAGATGGATAATACCTGCATCCCGGAGTTGATTTTGTAGGAAAAATAAAATAAATAAATATGTATAACGGCGAGACTATAATTCATGAACGAATAAATGAAATTGAAGATAGCAAGTATAGGATTATGGAGATAAATTCATTCATCTATAAGGTTAAATGGAATTTTGGTGTTGTAGCTGATGTCAGTTCGTGATAAAAATCCTGACACTAACTCCAACTCTTATTCGTAACCCTAACTTCTAACTCAATAACTCTCTTTTGACCTTAGTAAGGTGGCGAATTTTCTCAAGGTCACTAGTGTCCGTCAGAGGTCATCCATAAATTAGTCTCACTATAGTCTTATGTAGATTAAAAACAACAAAACTATTATATGTATCATATATGTAATTGAAGGAAGATTTTGGACTTGTTATTTGCTCGGTGAATAGGTTTTTCTTAATGTATCCTTCACACAGTGTACTTTAACGAAAGCTGGCTTATCAGCCTGTCAATTAGGGTTTTGGACACTAAGATTAATTTAGTATTCTTGTATCATAAATACGAAAATTCTAAAAGTCATGATTTAGTAGTCTGAGTCACAAAAACCAACATCAGTACAGGAAAAAGGCTATAGAATAAAACACGAAAGGTGCTAATTACGAGGGACAATAATCGAAATAAGATGTGTTTAATAAGGAAAATTTTAATAAGACAACAATAAATACTCAGAACACCAGTGAAATATAAAAACAAATTAAAACTGACGTGTGAAACATAAATCACTGTTAATATGATTACGACTTAGTGATCAAGAGCAGTAACCACCAACGTGGCTTAAAACTTTGCTAACATGTATTTTTAGAGAATATTTCAAATTTAATCGATGAACACTATCATTAACATAAACTTGTATCAGAAAATAAACCAAATATATGAAAACATCCTAATCAAAAAATAAATATAGGGGATGGACTATATTAACTTTGTACTAGCTAAAGATGAGTGCCAAAAAATATTGAAACTTCAGTTTCGTCAAAGTAAATTACAAAAAGAAAAGAGCACTACTAAGACTTGAAGTGGATACTTGATTGGTTCTCTACCAGTTTGTATTCTAAGCGTGGAACTAAAAAATAAATAATGTCACTCTTTTAAAACTTTATTTTTTGGACAAATTGTTAGGTATCATTTTAATCTTAAGCACAATGATTTAAGCCTATATGTAAGCATACGACTAGAAGCTCACCTGATGTTTTTGGTCAATCCATGATGGTCTTGATTCCAACCATTCTTCAACTTCGCGACAAAGATCAGAAGGTCTACTTATTTTCGGAGAACTGCTGTTGCTCACAGGCTGAAATTGAGCAAAAACGAAGATATTACCGATCTGTTACAAAAATGTGACTGTAAACAATTAGACCACGAGAAAAATTATGCAGCCATAATGGAGCTCAGGTCATATAATGAACAACATACGGGTTTACTGGAAGATTTAGAGAAAAAAATGTCTAGTTTATGAAATCAGTTATCGAAAATGAGTACCATACAATAACAATAAGACGGAGATTGAAGTAAATAATCTCTGTAAAATTATCTACAGGAAACGATACTCTGAATGTAGGCTTGTAACAAAAAGCACATTGTGATAGTATACGAACAGAGCAAAAACAAGCGAATGAACTGAAGAAGTGACCAGCAATTAAACGAATCATTTCATTTTCTACATAGGGATTTCGCTCCTCAATTATGAAAACATTGAACCTCAAAAACGGTCTGGTCAGTTTAGCATCTCATCGTCACTAATTATAAATTCATAGTACTGGTGAAACTCATGTTTGCTGTGACATAAACAACAGAATTCACTCTACTTACACGACTGGGAAGGCTAAAATTTTAATGATACATGTCAGTCAGTTGCTGACTATGTTGAACCTGATATAAGTGTTTATTAATCCTGCTTGCTACCTATTAGATCAGTCTATTAAGTATAAATATTGACAAAGTGAGATGAAGAGAATAATAAATAATATTCATCAAAGTGGATAGTTAAACCCTGTAGATATAGTTACAGAGAAACGAATGGGATCGAAGCGTGAAAAACACTAAATAAAGATAAGGAATGAATGTGACTGTACCACTGCGATATAATTTGGAGTATGTTATCCAACACCAACACTATTCATGTACGCCTTAGCTTAGAAGTCCACATACACCATTTTGGATCATTTATCCAGTCGACATCTTCATTTCCTCACTCCTAGTGTCTATTCAGCCAACCCCAATGCCAACTAGCAGTATTTGACCTCATATGTATTTGTTGAACATTTCCTAACTTCCTGATTTTACAGTTTATGGGTTCGTCAATCGAATTTTACTTTAAAATTTCGAGTCAAGACTCAGCGAATTATCTAACAAACATGGTGACATAGTGATTCATTTTATTTCGGCAATTATGTTTTATTATTTAAATCATGAAGAGACAGATGCAAAAGACAACATGATAAAATAAGAAAATATTCTACACAACTATGTTTAGTATTGTTTTAACTGATGATATTCATTCATAGTTTTTCTATCATTTGATTTAATGATTAGGTCAACACTCTCTATGAAATCCCAGCAAGACTATTATATACACCATAAAATATGTATTTCGAAAGCGCTTCTAACTGATAATATCGATTATTTCAAATAAAACAACTAAACTTATGCAAGTCAAACATCAAGCTTATTAAATGTTTGTATTAACTTATATAACAAAGGTTGTTAAGAAAAGCCCATTAACTAGTCCTGAGAGAAAATTTGCACCATTTGCCCGAGCCAAGTGTATACACGCCACAAATCACAAAAAATACCGGGGTTAATGTTTCCTGTGTTGATAAGTTTAAATGATTAATTATTACTATCACCAATCATATAGTGTTCTGCTGAACACAATCGAATTATTAGTTGACTTTAAATGGGAACTAAGCCAAAGGTGTGGGAATATTTAGAATTAAAATCAATAAGAAACAATCTCTTTGCTTTCACAGCCAGATATTTAGATTCAATTTTTGAATGGTCCCAAATAATACGAATTTAACTCTTACTACTAGTTTTATATTCAGTAGTTCATCTTATTGACCGAAATTGCTCAGGACATCAATAACGTAACCGAATGGTCAGCTGAATAAACTTGCATGTCAATGTTAATGTTCACGAATAGAAAAGCAAAGAGCGCGCCTCCTGGATTTCCCTGCTAGCCATTATTCAACATTATTTAATCTTGTAACTAGGAATATCGAGATTTTCCTCTGACGGTGCACAAAAGGATAATGATCGATCCTTAACGTAAAGAACAGGAAAATATGACCCATTACAAATGTTATTGTTGTTAGGATTAAAGATATTGTGAATGATATTTGTTTAATGAAGTAAAATTGTCTTCACTGACGTTCTTTTTTATTGATAAACTGTTTCCACTATTGAAAACCTGGGAGCCCTGGACGACCGTTTCGTTCTGGTATGGGACTCATCCATGGCAGTGTACATCCACGATCCCTCACTCATGACTCGGAGCCAGGACTTTCCGTCTCACGAGCGAAGGCATAAGTTCTAGACCACTGAGCCAGTATCCAACGGTGTTAATGTCTAACCTCAACCATCCACCATTGTTTTCAGTGAGTAACTGCCTCACAACAGACACGGTTGAACTCCACTGGTTATGGCTTCTCTTTATTACTCCAGTAAATCCTTCTTAAACCCAGTTACTAGTGAGCACATGATAATTTTCAGTATAGGGTCGTGGTCTAACCTTGTTCCATTCATGATATCAATCTAAACTCAACAAATTCGAGAACGCTATACTGATAATCTGTTTCCAGTTAAGTTAACCACCTATGATATCGGTTAAATATATTCTATCAATATATAGTCTAATTTACAAAACGCAAAGATTATATTTCAACTCTGAATTAACAAGCTCATTTAGATATTCTGTGATAAGTGCTACTGATTTCGACAAATATAAGTAGTATTTATCATCAATGCCTGGAGGCACAAGGTTAAGAAGATCGAAGAGAAGAGAACGAGAATAGTGAATGATTTGTGTGGAAAAAAGGAACAATCAAGTCTGGGACGACTAATTAACATTTTGCAAATCAAGTATTTACTGTATGGTAATCAGACTTTATTAAGACCTGTATTTTTTTTCAAATACATTCGATTATCCTCGCCTGAGTTCTCGTTCATTACAATTCCGTAAATAAATGTTTATAATGTGTAGGCAGTGAAACATGGCCGGTAAGAGTAGAGGATATCCGTAGGTTACTAGTATTTGACCATAGGTATCTTCGAAATATTGCTCGTATACCCTGGGACCATCGAGTAAGTAACACAGTTGTTAGGAAACGGGTACTAGGTAAGGATGGCAAATCAATAGATGACGTAGTGAAACTTCATCAGTTGAGATGGCTGGAACATGTGTTACGTATGCCCAACCACCGACTGCCCCGAAATGCGATGTTTCATGGTGTAGAAGTAGGTTGGGAGAAAGCTAGAAGTGGCCAGACCAAAACATGGCACAAATCCATGAAGTCAGTGACAAGTGGTTTCAGACATATTGGTAGGTGTAGACTACCTGGTTGGGATCTGCGAGATGATAGCAACCGATGGTAAGAGACCCTGAGTGACATGGCTGAAAATAGTTTACAATGAAGCAGGTGTATCCACTCCTTGTGTTCTCTCAAATTCTAATCCTCTGAATTCTTCATGTCCCTTTTTTTCTCTTTCTGAATTTATTTCACTGGATTATACTCCTGTAATAACATCTTCAAACCCTAATCTTTCTGATTACTGCTTATACTCTTACCACCTCTATCACTACGGGATTTGAATCGACAGCTCGAACTGTTGTACGTCCGTACGAAGTTCTACGTTGTTATTGACTGACTGATAATATGTAAACAATCATAGAAATGTATAAATGATAAGAAATAGAAAATTTAGTGAATCATTAATTATGATTTCAATATTTTCGATTTGATCATTGATTATTCATTTGTTAACAACAGGTAAGTCATATGTATGTTATATCATTCTAGTAAAATAATTTTGTATATAAATAGTTGTTTTCATTATCTAGTAATTATTTTCTTGCAAAATCTATCGATTTTTAATTCAGAGATTAATTTTATGAGTAGATTTTCATCAGTAATTATTTAGTGGTTAAGTGCTCGCATGCGAAACTGATAGGTTCTGGGTTCGAATCTCACGAGGCGGGATCGTGGATGCACACTACTGAGGAGTCCCACAGTAGGACGAAACAGTCGTTCAGTGCTTCCAGGTTTTCCATGGTGGTCTAGGTTCAATTGACTCATGATCTCAACTATTAAAATTATTTAAGTATTATTTTTCAATGGTTAAGATCATGAGTCAGTTGAAGCTAGACCACCATGGAAAACCTGGAAGCACTGGACGGCCGTTTCGTTCTATTGTGGGACTCCTCAGCAGTGCGCATCCACGACCTCGCCCCCTGCGAGATCGAAACTCAATACCCACTGGTTTCGCGCGCGAGCACTTAACCATTAGACCACTGAGCCGGCATCCAACGGTGTTAACCATTGAAATTACCATAATATCCACAAAACCCATCTGGTATTATTTTTCAGTATTTTTTTCATATCGATGAACTGCTCCGTTTAAAAAAAATTTAACAAGCTAAAATATTATGGATAGTAAAATATGTTTAAAGGGTTTTACAGTCTGAAACACAATAGTGAATTCTGCTGAATCAGCTCTTCATTCAGTTATACATCATAATTACAATAATTTACGATATGTTTTCTTATTAGACGAGACCAGAAAAATAATATCCGATTATACTTATTGTTATATTATATCTCTTATTACTATTATTATTGTTATTATTATTATTAGTCGTAGTGACTCTAGAATGTCTTATATGAACTTTAGACTAATACTAATAAACCATACAGTGTGGAACTAATGCGTCATTTTTACCTAGCTAATGATATTCTATCCATTTTAAGCAGGACTGGTCTTCTATACATTTATGCCGTTTATGTTTGTCTTCATCGATTATATGTATTTACTTTCATGGGATATGACTATCCACTTGTATATATTATACCTCGACAGACTTAAGCATAAATCTCTTTATGTATATATGTTTATTATTTACTCTATTTGTTGTCTATTTACTGGCTTACATTTCTTTTTATTTAAACTATATAAGATGAGTCACTAGATTAGTTGTCGAGTTAGTGTATTGCCAATCCTCAATGCTATTCACCTATATTCTTTTCCTGTTTATATGTATATTTGAAAGAAATATATCTAAAACACAACCCTTATTCAAATTTTTACATAATATTTACGAGGTTAGATAAGGATCTATATTTCATCCACATAATTCATCATCAATCCGAGTCAACTCAATACTTTATATTCTTACTCAACTATTTGAATAGATAGAACCATATACAACTTTATGGTTAGATTAACAACTTGGACATACTATTTTTTATTCCAGAAAAAGTAACAATCATTATAACTACTTCATGACTGATTATTGTGCTTATATGTTGCAACATACAACATTAAAAATTCATTTATTCGTTTATCTTGAAAAGAGCAAGAACAAAGATTCTAGCCGAATAGTATGAAATCATTTTATTTCGTTAGTTCTCGTCAACTGCTTATAACCTGTGATACCTTGTAATCTTTCAATAACTCAATCAAAGGTTGACAAGTACCCGTTTCATGTTACTGCCAACTGTATTTATAAATTTACGCGTACGTGCCAAAGCAGCTACATTTGCAGAACAGAAAGCAGGGCGTATCTTAAATTTTTTAAACATGTTCGAAAAAGCCTTATAACAATATAAAGATTCTAAGCAGTGCAATCACCAAACATCTTGATACAAGGTATCAGCTCTACACCTTTCAATCTTTCAAGGTGATTAGTAAGCAGACAAACTCCAGTCTTCTTACGTTTGCTGAATCCGTTGCTATCAGGAGTCAAAAGCAGATGGTTATTAATCTTTCCTTGCCTTGGTGACAAATGTTTCTTCGTTGCATCTTAAACTTTTTTAAAAAGCTCTTTCTTGCATTTATTAACATCATTGAGTTTTGTTTCAACTATCTTCGGAATTAGTATTCTTATTTTATCAGCCGAGCTCTTCTCATTTTATTCCTATCAGCGTTTACTCATTATGTAATCACCTGTTTCTGGCAATTTGAACTGTTGTCATAATCAATGTTGTAGAATGTACTTTTACATAAGTTATATATTTACAACATTCACTCTATTAAACTTTTTTACACCCTTGCTATACTATAACTAATGTATCTTCAATATAACTTCCAATCAAACCCTTTCATGTAAGTGATTTAAACCTATTATGTAATTATGATTTTTAAATATCACAGATTGTAAACATCTGACGAGAACCAACGAAATAAAATGAATTCATACTATTGTGCTAGAATCTTTATTCCTGCTCTTTTCAAAATGATAAAGGGACTTCAAATATTTGTCATGCAAAAAGTATTTCACAAAACTTACAATATCTAATGAAAGAGAACATTCCATAAATCTACTTTGATCAGCATTCTTCCTTATTTGGATAGGTGAACCCCATTCAGGCATCTTTTTACTATCTGATGTTGAAAAGTCTTTAGAAGTTATCAGTTCCTGTAAATAAAAAATTATTATTTTAAAGTAGATTTATCAAATTCTCCAAACATTATTTTGATAATTTCGACTACAGAACTTAATGCTCTAGTCAGTATATAATGGTTGATAATTCCAAATAAACCGGAAGCTAATAGAATCATTTAAAAACTTCTTATTTGAAACATATCTATTCATCATAGTAAGTGATGACAGTTGTTCTAAGATTCAAATTCACCATCAATCGCTTGGGAAATAGATCTCTATTCATCAAAGGATTGAGTTGTGATGCCTGCTTGTAATTAAGTCTGGATTATTTTAAAACAGATTGAATTTGGAGCATTGGAATAAATCTTATTGTTGAATCTTAAACAGAAGGAAACACAAGTATTTAATTCCAGCGATACATGCTATTGAATACATTTCATGATTTTTTAGTTTTAGCAAATACTTAATCATTCAATCCTGATTTAAAGAACTTAAAATTAAATGATTCTGAGTCATTGCAGCTAAAGTCATCAACCACTGATCACAGTTATCATGGGGTTCCTGACCAATTATGCTTCATCTAGTGACAATCACTTAGAACAATAGTCAATGATTTCTTGGAGTGATGCTATGTCTTGGTTTGGCAGTCTCTAATTTTCTTCCAGACCACTTCTGCACCAGAAAACTCCATATCTTGAGGTAGTCAGTGTCTAGTCATCCGTGACACTTGTTCTGAACACCTCAGTCAAAAAACGTCAGTCCATAAATATCTTCTACTTTTAGTGATTATGTCTCACATTGATGGAACAATACAAATATGATTACTAATGGGCGATATATTCGTCCGTCGGTTGGTAGAAAGACAGCCTACAGTAATTTATTAAACTGATTCCTTAGCTTGATTATAACTTAAACAGAATGTTTTGGACTAAACTAATAAAAAACATATGTATAAAATATGACCAATAAAATACCTCTCTTCTTTGGACGCCCGCATAATAAAATCTGTCACGTATGGATTATAATTCATTTAGCTGTTTAGTGACAAATTATTTGTTACTTGCAGATAACTTTGAGAATTCAACATTCAAAATTGATTTGGATAATTCAAATACATCAAATCCTCGTAAGTGGAGATTCTATGAATCTGGGAACAATACTAATTTTAACCCGAGAGATACTAATTGGAAATGAATATACTACTTATCAGTAGTCAAACTCTTTGTCACAGCAAACTATCTTTTACCAAATCGTAGCGAAGCATCATTGCATTATTGGTAAATGGAGTTCAATAGTTGAAATCATGAGTCAATTGAAGCCAGATAACCATGGAAAACATGGAAGCACTGGACGGCCGTTTCGTCCTATTGTGCGACTTCTCAGCAGCGTACGTCCACGGTCTCGTCCCCCCCCGCGAGATTAAAATCCAGGTCCTATCAGTCTCGCGCGTGAGAGCTTAACCATTAGACCACTGAGCTGATATTTCACAACAGACCTGGTTGAACTCCACTGGTCACGGCTTCTCACTAAAACTCCAGGAAATGCCCCCCCCTCGCTGGGGGCGGGGTCGTCGATGCTCACTGCTGGGGAGTCCCATACTAAGACGAAACAGCCGTCCAGTGCTTCCAGGTTTTCCATGATGGTCTATCTTCAATTGACTCATGAGTTCAACTATTGAAATTATTAAAATCTCCACAAAACCCCTTCTGAAAATAGAGTTCAGTTGATATAGTTTATTTACATATATTTTAGATATGACTACGTAGTGATTAGAATATTACAAGAGTACAACGAACTATTAATCTAACTGTGAATATAAAATAAGCAGCGTGGTTGCTTTCCAGAAGTAATTAATGTCCAAGTACACCATTAGATGTCAGCTCAAGGGTCTAGAAGCCAAATCGCGAAATCATAAGTCCTAAATTCAACTCTTTGATCCAGACTTGTGCGCGCATACTGATAAGGAGCTAAACACCAGGGCGAAACGACAGAAAAGTTCTGCTTGGTTTTCAGTGGTGGTTCAACCTAAGCCAGTTCGTGACTTAATAAATGAAAATATAAATTAGTGTATAACCAACAGTAATAAACATAGAATTCATAATGGATTCTTCTTCGCTGAATATTTGACTAAAAACCAACTGAGTTACTCACAGCAAATTACAAATTTGTATCGTTAACTCTTTATATAACTAAAGACATACCATTCGTTTTTTATTTTTCTCTTCAGCTCTTCTTAACGCAGCCTCAAATTTAGTTTTTGGTTCTGCTCCTTTTATAATATCTTCATCTCCACTATCATCCCATTCACTTAAGTATTTAAACGTTTTCTCTTCAACATTCTGTACTTCAGAGGAAATACGTTGACATGACTGAATATGATTTACAGATGAACAACTGTTTTGACAAAATAAAAAATCTGATTCAATCAAATCAAGTCCACTCTGCAAAAATTGAATATTAAAGAAAAAAGAAATCAGATTGAAGATGATTAGTCAATCATCATTTATTTGTTATTATACTCGCATCACTTCTCCATTAGTTGTATAAATTAGCTCGAAAAACCATTCATATACTTAGGAATATATGATAATTTATTTTCAGACTAATGACATTTTAACCAATAATACAATCCGGGTGATTGCTAGATGTTAAAATTAGAATTATTTGTGAAAGAAACATATCTTTGTAGTAAATGAGAAGTCTTCATCATCTAATGTAAAATCAGGAAGAAGCGCTGGAAGTGGATAGAACACACATTGAGGAAAGCACCCAACTGCATCACAAGACAATCCCTCACATGGAATCCTCAAGGCCAAAGGAAAAGAGGAAGATCAAAGAACACATTACGTCGAGAAATGGAGATAGACATGAGAAAAATGAACAAGAATTGGATGGAATTAGAAAGGAAGGCCCAGGACAGAATGGGTTGGAGAATGCTGGTCGGCGGCCTATGCTCCATTGAGAGTAATAGGCGTAAGTAATGTGTAACTATACTGCCACACTATATAACAGTTAGAAATTAAAGGAAAATTAGCGAATACAGGGAAATTGAAACATCCATATTCTTTCGTCTGATAGGCTTGTTAGTAAGTCTTATCGGATAGAAAACTAAATTTATCGTCCATAGTTTATAGTTAAATTCTGAATACCAGGAAAATTAATCTGATATTCCAATGTGATATTTTCAAGTGCTGTAGTAAAGGATGAACATTTGAAAGAAGTGCAAAATATCCACCATATGCATGTCATTTGCATATTGAAAATGTAATAAACATGAAGATTTTAGTACGTAAAGGTAGAAAATGCTTTTTTTAGTGACAAAGAACACTTTTTTAAGACAACATCCAAATATATCAACAGTGACCTATTATGGGGTCTAACAATAAAAATGTGAAATTTTCGACTCATCGGATTCCAAAACTATGATTAATTTCATCAAAACAATAATAACAAAAGTAAAACTTTATTTGGAATGAACAGACTATCCCAAAAAATAAAGGTTTAAGTATGAATGATGTTATAAACTGAAATCAAGTGGCCGGAACATTTCAGCGAAACTACACTCATTAGGAGTAACAGGCGTAAGTAAGTAAGTGCACTCAGTAGTAACTTCTCATAATTGCATGTCAATTATGGTTCTCAGATACTCAAACTTTTATCGACGAAAAAGTGATGTAAGATTACGGAATTCAACTTAGCTTCACAGATATATTGTTTGGCGCACTAGTCAAATTTACCTTAGTATTGAGTACTCGGTTTATGGTAACTTCGTTTATAAAAACATTAGTCAACTTAAAATATTACTCAATCAAACCATGTGACTTAGGGTTCTTGTAATATTTGTGTAGTCTTTCGAAAATCATATAAAGATGAGTCGTCTAATTTACACCATTAACTTTACGCCCAAACTAAAATTTCTACCAATAATTTAATATTTATGCATAGATTACGAACATTAGAATTTTAGGATTTTCACCTGTGAACGAAATATCGGTCTACAACTCACCGATTCTCAGCTATAGTAAAACCAACTATTTTAAACAATTTATTTATAAAGAAATTCCTATTACAAATGGTCTATGTACAGTAGATGGTCCGAATAGAAGAAATGATTGACCAAAAACCTTCTTTCCTTTCTAAGTATATATTGTAGGACTAAACATTTATGACAACAACAATATGCTACTGTTAAAATTTAACGATAACATAACAGCTCAAAGCGGCAAAAGTGATATTTGTCTTCATTAGTTTATATTATTTGGTTGTTTTTTGTAATAACCACGGGAGAAATGATCACAATGGAACTCAGTATGCCCAGTCGACCAAAGACACAATAAAATATTATAGTGACAGAATAACATTAAAACATAAAGTTTGCGTTAATATAAATTTAGTATGATAATAAAATGAAGAGTTCTAATATATCAGTGGTAATATGTATTTATTATTCAAATCCCATAGGTGTGTCACCCAATTTGTTTCAAAAATTGAGATTACATAATATTAAATGACCCACTTATTCGGCCTGTGATTACCATTTTTAACTTTAATTTCAACATAGTACTACTCTATTGTAATTGAATTTTATTTATAGGACTGCAATAAACTCTAAATTAATTCATATGATTTATATATTTCTACATTTTGCTATTATAAACATACATATATATCAAACTAAACATGATGCCGAGTAATTACACTTCTAACACTAGAATTCAGATCAATGTAAACTAGTTTCATCTAGGTAATAGTAACGAGAACAATACAGACTTTTCTCACAGACATTCAATTTATTTAGACTAATTGTCTAACTTGAAAAATCTGTAGGCAAAAAACACAAACATATACCTGATAACTACACTTTCATACATAGTAGACATAAAGCGAAATAGTGTGTATATAAATTCGTACATAATGTTTATACACAAAAACAAATAGCTAATAAATAAAAACATTCCTTGAACAAGTGTTGTTCACAAAATGTATATACAGCGACAATATACTCTACTAATTGGACAGTTAAAAACAGTTTCATTTAACACATAGAAGTTGTCGGAAAAATAGCTGTTTGTAAGAAAATTGAGGTTTTATTCTTATCTTATGACCATCGGTTAAAAGGTATTGTATTATTACATCATGTATAATTTCGTTTGTAGACTCGAATAACACTTTTTCTCCTAATACGTGCTGAAAATCGCATAACGTATAATATTATTGATAACGGGGGGGATTTGATTTATTTAATTAAATCACGTATCATGTTTGAAAATTAACCGTAATTCAATAAGTACGAAAGGGATAGATAAACATGATATTGATCATCACTTAGTGATCAATCAACGGTAAACTAGGTAACATCTAGTACAGTCTAACTAACTGTGAGTTGCCTAACCATTTAATTTTAACAGGAATTAAAGAATAATTATACGTATATTCATTGTATTTATTTAATTATCAGACAGAAGTTGTACTACTAGCGAAACGTTCGTATCCGAGATTCATCTTTTAGTAATGTTTAATATAAGCTGTTCCATCTGCTTTAAGATGAATAGAAACACTTTTTTGAAAAAATACTAAAATATATTAACGAATTATTGAAACCATTGCAATTAAAATACAGAAAACATTTTATTTGTTTTAGTGAATTAAGTAATATTGTCAATTTCAGACTCAGGTACATCCAAATTGTCATTAATACAACATTACTTCTACAAAAACTTTGTAGTTTGAATAGACCTTTTTAAATATCTTCTAAACTGAGACAATGAATAACCTGATTTATTTGTTATTCAGAACGTTGCATGCCCTATAAAGTTAGAAATCAAAGTTTCACCTCATTAATCAACAGTAACGTGGATTTTAACAGATTATTATTCGAGTATGAAATATTTACAGTATGTATGTCATTATGCCTATGTTATTATACTCATGATAAATAGTCACACTAATTAGACAAGATTGTATGGCTGTACACCCATAAAAAAATTAATAAAATATCTAATCTACTTCATTTCCCCTTTCTGGTTTTGGTTTTTTTGTACTTATAATTTCTTGAATCCAAGATTTATTGTAAATAGCACATGTGCTAATGACAAACTGATTAGTAGAAGCTTTAATAAACAATACACCATTTTTAACAAACAAAGCCCATAATATAACTACTGGTGTTACATACTACTTATACCTGAAAACATAAGTCGCATACACCACAACACAACATTTTAGATAGTCAACTTTACCACTTAAAGCTTTCTGAAATAAAGTCAATTAATTCTTTTTCATTCGATATCAGTTTATGTAAGAAATTAATCTTGAAACATATAATATCATTTTAACACTAAGAAAAAAGATAATCCGTTCGTCAATTGCAGTCGGCTGTAAGTAGCATAAAACGGTCTAACATGCTAAACCACATCAAGTATAGTGAGACGAAATCATCAGGCTAATTATGCATCTCGTAAGCTTCTGAAAATCTCCACACATATATATTCAGTGTAGTAGTTGGGTTATAATCACATATATATTATCTAATGAGAATATTGACAATATTGTTGGAGGGAGATTAGATATTTCAAGTAACAAGAAAGTTTATCACATAAATGGGATACCTGATAACATTTATGATCATATTTCATAATGTTTTTAACGTCAAGAAATTGGTTTGTTAGGAATGAATCCTTCCTTAGCAACCAATTAAACTAATAGTTTAGAGAAATTTTTATATCAGTTAAATGCATATCAAATGAATTTCTGATAATTCACTGTTATTTAAATAATATGTCCTCCGGTTTCACAAAAAGTGGGACAGATTGATAAAGTATTTGATCATTTGAATAAATTCCATGATAAATTTTATTTCTGATATCAAAAGTGCAAATGAAAACAAAAAGGAAAAAGTGATGTGAAGTGACTTTCTTTATCAAGGATGTTTTTCTAGATGAAACATTTATGGATCAAACTATGTAAACATGAAGACAATGGTTTCCTGCTTACTGAATCAGATTCATTCTTCAATACATAAATAATATTTCATAAATAAATTAACAAGTTAATATTAAACTGATGATAGTTTTTTTTAAAGTAAATTCAGTTACTTTAGTAAGACTATAATTTATGGATGAACCAATCACATTTAAGATAGCAAATCTTGGATTTTGGCACGAAATCCATTCAATCATTTGTTTAAATACTATTTTGGCATTATAACTGATGTCAGTTCGTGAAGAAAACATTAAATCTAATTCCTAACCCTAACATTCAACTGTAAATTGCAATCTTAATTCCTTCATACTAATCTATAACCCTCATTTAATCCTGATAAGTAGGTGAACATTTCAAGATCATTTTAACATTGCTTGAAGGTCGACCATAATTTATAGTCTTACCGTTATTTCCTGTGATTTCTTTTAATGATTATTTAAAGAAAACAAATAAATAATCTGTTCTTGATTTGATTCTTTTTTGCTAAATTTACAGTTCCAAAGGAAGACATCTAGGTTTGGGGGAAAATTCAAGAAATGACACCAAAATGATTTTATCCTATGTACTTGACAGATTTGTATTGGACTAATTTGGTATAGAAAATTAGATTGGAGTTATATTTCATGTGAATATTACAAAAAAATTGGTATCTAACAGAGATCATGTTTAATCCCTATACATATTCAAAATGGTATACAAAAATGTAAAATGATGAATTGAACAATTCAACAGACAAGTAAATCAGTAGACAGAATTAAGATACACTGTAAGCGAAATGTAACAAATGGTTAAATAATGTTGAAATAAAATTTATTGTTTAAACAATAAAAGCTGTTTACCATTCGTCAGTTTTGATTCAACCTTGACAAGAGGCTTATATCATGACTTTTCTATTCTTAAATCTAAGTAACAGTATATAACAATAATTGTTAGGTGGTTTTTTTCCTAATTTTTTATCATAAAGATATTCTCCCTTTGATAAGTTTTTTTTAGAATTGAATCATTTTAATATATACTTTATAAGATGTACTAAGCTGATATGAAATATCCAACGTGGAAGGAAAATGTAATGAACTTATGTGATTCAAAATAACTGAACATGACTGTTAATTTTGCTTTATGTCATGATGTTACTTTAGAGGAAAATAACAACTAGGTCTTATGGTGTTATCATAAAAGAAATCAAATGAAGTTCATCGAGTAATTATATATAAAATAATTTACCAGCGAATCATTTGGTATACATAGATGATTATTATCTTCCAACGACGACTGACGTATATTATTAGCTGCTTTATTTTGAGAGTTTGTTGTAAGTTGTATATCTTCACAGTAAGTATTGAGAATTGAATCTGAATAATGATCTCTTGTATACTGTTCATATGAATTTTTATTGATGTAATCGTTTGGTTTTACATGGAAACTTCGAGTTCTAACTAGTGATGAATGATTAGTCGCATCTGGAAGTGGTCGATGTTTCAATTTGTTGCATTTTATTCTAGCGTTTTGATGACAAGTTGTCTAAATTAAAGAACAAATGAAAGTCAGCAAAAAAATACATTAGAAAATCCAATTCATGTAGGTGATTCGGTCGACTAGTTTTTAGTCAACAATGTGATAATGATATGAATTTGACAATAATAGATGTACTGTACTTGATCACTAAGGTATATATTATATCACAGTGCATAAATTAACTTAAGATTATAAACGACAGGCGAAGTTATTAGAAAGCTCATGAACTCAGGCTTTCAAAAGCCAGTTAAGAGATTCGGATTTCAATCAATTCAAATTACATTTGTATTTATGGAGAACTTTTGGCCGAAATAATTAGCGACAAATCGAGAAATACTTTGTCACTAATGCACCAAATTGAAAACAATATCTTGGCGTCAAGGCTAGTGATATGTATAATCTGTCAAAATTATTTCGGAACGTTCAGTCACTAAACTGAAATGTTTACTAAGAAAATAACAAACGTTAGTTTAATACAAAAGAAATCAGAGTACTTTATTTAGTATAAAAAATTATCTTTGATATTATATAATGACACAGACGTTTACTTGATATTCATAAATTTCATAAGGTGAATACTACTTACCCAATTCAATCCGAAAACATCATATTCACTTGTAACAAGTGAATCACAATCTTCCCAATATCCACTACTAGCGTTACTACTTGTAATCAGTTGATCTATTGAATTGTGATCTTTTCCAAATGTACTATTTTTAAGTTTATTCTTTTCAGTTGATCTACTTTTGGTTGGTGATAATGAATTGAATAATTCTATACTGTCTGAATCAATCATATGAAATTTCAAGTTTTTATCCATAAAGAAACAAATGTTGTTATTTTGCTAAAATCAAGAAAAAACAAATGGAAATGTTAACTGAAGTGGTTAGTAGATAAACTGTCAATGTATGAATTAAGTTCTGAAAAATAGAATTGAAAAGATACATTTGAGTATCGAAATCAAAGGATTAACAAATGATGAGAGGAATCACTGAGCGGATTCCTTGAGTATTAAAGAGTTTTCATTGAAAAGTTGTATTATCCAATACTACGTTAGGTATTGAATATCATTTGAAAAACTGATTAGACTTGCCTAAGAATTTTTCAGCAACTGTGTTGAAACGACTATTCAATAATTTATTAGATTAAAAATTAATATGATGTTACTATTATTTAGAATAAAGTCGAACTATTTTGCTGTGATGAAGACACCATTTTATTTATTTCAGCACATAAACATTGGCATGAGGAGGCATAAAATATATGTGCACCACACAAATCATTCGATATGTGTAAGATCTAGGATACTGCCCGGGTGCCTAAATCGAAGCAGGTGGTTTTCTTAGTGGGTTACTCCGCGATCCAAGCCTTCGACCTAGAGGTTTAATCCACAAGATAGTAGGGCGACGTTATAGATGCAGTCCCATAGTGGCTGGTGACCAACAATAGGTTCATACACAATTTGTTACCTCAAGATCCTATAGCTTTGTGATCTGCGCTATCCGCTAATGAACTGTAATTGACGCTTCTCATTGCCTTTTGATTATAAACGCCGTTGAAATTTATATAATAACGGTTATCAAAGTGATTGATTAACGAAGCAAAGCCACTACAAAGCTAAGGAATTTAGGAAAAGACAAATATTCATATAATCTAAATCTTTTCTGTATAGTAGAAGGATCATATTCTGTGAAACTGTTTATTCAGCTTACAGAATAATGGATACAAATCAAGGAGAAGTTATGAAGTAGGTGAAACTATTCGAGAACATACTAACAACTGAAACGTTTTTCACAACATGAAATGATTAACAACATAATAAGTATTAAAAAAACATATCCATTTCAAATACTACGCTCTTAAATTGACCATCATTACAAATTGACTCAAGTTAGAATTATTGAATATTGTATCATGTCTAGCTGATCTAAACGTATCATGCTCACAACAAAAACTCAATGTCATATGCTTGATGCCATCCGAGATCATAAGTGGATTCCGCTGAAGAACTGGAAATTAGAATAAAACCACAATTCAGTGCCACCTAGTTTTCAATTGTTTGTTCTAACTGATATTTGTTCGTAAACAGCATTCATTAAAAAAACTACAGAATAAATACCCAAAGATGATGTAATCGTATGTTTAAGGTACTGAGTACAATATTTTCTCATAAAACCAAGCCGAATTCTATAATGAATTAGACAAGAATCCAATATTTTTTCACTTATAAGAAAAACAATCAGCCATTATTTTGATTTTTAAAATAATCCTGTTGTGACTTTAAGCCCGGCTTTTTTATCACGTGATTTATTCGCCCATCGAAAAACGACATATTCAATCTTATACTGTGCTAAACCAAAGACGTTCGAGCGGTATGAGCAGCCGAGCGTCCTTATTGGTCGATTGCTCCCCTAGCTTGTCCAGTTGAGTCTAGAACACCAATAACAGATTCCACTATGTGGATCCTTTATTTCAAACATACTTGGTTTATATATCAGCCAGAGACAGAAATAATACTTGTGCAAAATATAGCCAAAGGTGGCGGTGAACGTGGGAGATAGTGATTACAAAACTGAGTATAACATAAGGACAGTGAATCGTACAATAATGATCTATAGATCAAGATGAAGTTTATAATAAGAGAGAATATAGATATACATGATCTAATCGCTAAACAATTATACTATAAGAATATACAAATAATATTAGTCCATTAATAGGTCTCAGAAGTTACTCGTAATTTAATCTTCGCTAGGATATAATACTATAGGTCAAAATGAAGCTTATAATAAGATGAATATAGATAAACACAATCTAGTCACTGAATAATCATACAATAGGAATATATATAGTCTATGCAAAATACTACGGATCCGTTCGCCGGACACTATCAGCAATAACCAACTGTGGGTAAGAACAAACCAGATCGCACTGGAGGAAGAAATCAGGAAGAATTGTTGGAAGTGGATAGAACACACATTGAGGAAAGCACCCAACTGGGTCACAAGACAATCCCTCACATGGAATCCTCAAGGCCAAAGGAAAAGAGGAAGATCAAAGAACACATTACGTCGAGAAATGGAGATAGACATGAGAAAAATGAACAAGAATTGGATGGAATTAGAAAGGAAGGCCCAGGACAGAATGGGTTGGAGAATGCTGGTCGGCTGCCTTTGCTCCATTGAGAGTAATAGGCGTAAGTAAGTAAGTAATATATATGACATTAGTGCATTATTAGTTCCTGTAGTTACTAGTAATTTAACCTTCACTAGGATATAACAAATTCCAGATATATTTTCTTTTCTTTTTTGTAATAAACTTTTGGTTTATTTACCAAAATAGATTTATTGGGTTCATTTTTTTTTAAATTTTTCTTTTTATTCAATGTCTAATGTGTTTTTAACTTAGAATTAATAAATGTCATAACAGTTTTACAATCAGTACCACAATTTTAACAATCATCCTATCGGCTTATCCATTTTTATTTGTTTTCATATAGAAACAACTATAATTTGGACATTATATTATACTATATTCATTTCAATTTTATTAGTCAGTGTTTATACTGTAAAATATAATTCATAAATGAATCAGTTATTTATTACACAATACATAAAATAATGTCAGTCTTTTAAAAGAAATTCTAATGAAAATAAGTTTTGTACAGATCGGTAATGCGCAACGTTTTTTTTTCTTTTTTACCGAAAATATTTACCGATGTTAGTTAATCTAAATATTGGAAAGTTAATAAAACTATTTATTTGTTTTCAGAGCGGGGTTTTGTGAAGAGTTTAGAAATTTCACTAGTTGAAATCATGAGCCAATTGAAGCTAGATCACCATGGAAAACGTGAAATCACTACTGGATGGCCGTTTTGTCCAACTATGGGACTCCTCAGCAGTGTGTACCCACGATCCCGCCCCCCCGCAAAATTCGAACCCAGAACCTGTCAGTCTCGCGCGTGAGCACTTAACCTTTAGACCATTGAGCCGGCCAGCATCCAACAGTGTTAATGTCTATTATTTATTTTTTTATTGAAAAAAAGTTCCATCATTATAATCAACAGATTACTTTAGTAAACAATACATTATTCGATGGATTAATAAAGATAATGGGAAGAAAACAAATTAATTAAGATAATCTATTTCTATCAATAATAAGAAGGAATTAAGTTTGAAATTGAAAATAACTAGTTTATGACTTATTTCTATGATTTATTGTATTATAAAGATTGTGAAATTTGAAGTTTTTACATCGTATACAATAATTTTGATAAATAGACATTATGTATTAGTATAAACTGTCAGTCCGTAATCTGATAGTTTGAATGTATTCAGCACGTTAGTGAACCTCAAGGTTACAATTTTGATCCCTGAAGGATTAATAAAATGAGCTTCGGTGAGGAGTCCCAAATTAGGATAAAACAATACCATAAGTTTCATTGATTTTCTAACTAAAATGATTATCAGTATGAAGTTTTAGAGATTGTTTACATTTATTATGACCAAAAACCGATCTGTTAAACAATCACTGAAAACCTGGAAGAGCTTGTTTGTCATTTTGTTTGAGTGTGGGACTCTTCAGAAGTGCACTTACAAGAACTCAATAGCCAGTAGTGGAGTAATGGATGCGCACTGCTGAGAACTCTTATACTAAGATGAAACGAAGTTCAATACTCCCAGGTTTCCATTCGTTATCTAACGGAGATCAATTCGTGGTCTCAATAAAACCTTCATAATGAAACATTCATATCTACAATAAACAATTTCCACAAACCTATAAGAAATGGAATTAGATTGGCTAAAAAGTACGTACATTAAATTCATTTTACAATTGATCTGGTTTCAAACATCAATAAAATTTGTCAAGAAGATAATAAAACTAATTATTAAATAATTCAAGAGTAATAAATTCACATTATTCATATATATATATATATATATATATATATATGATACAGGCTGAATAGAAATGTGCATACAACTCAATCATACATAATATGTTTCACCTCCTTATATTTATCTTTATGCAATAATACGCATGCACAAATACCATTCATATATTGAATAACTACCCCATTTAAATCTAAACTTGAGAAAATAACACGTTTAGCAGTAATTTGCAGAAGTGCAAAATATAGTCTTTGTCCGGAATTGAGTGACAGTAACAGGTAGAAATCACCATAAGTGACCTAGATATATAATACTGCTCAAAAATTTATTGTGTAATCTTCATGATATATATGTATATATAAGAGCTATTCAAGTGTAATCTTATAACAAGCACATTCATCGTAATCTTGAAATATGTTCTACATTTATACAAACTGCATTATTTCAGACAGTTATCGTTATAAAACTCATCAGGGAAAATATTTCAACTGTTTTATTTTCAGAAAAGTATACTTGAGTATAACGAAATGAAAATAACTATTTAATGAGAAATTGATCAGTTAACATACTCTCGAGAAGTTATCTTTTCTTCTACCCATCTTCATTCTATTTCAATTATAATTGAACGAAATAATGAGAACTTCGTCAATATTTTTAATTCTAGAATAACAGTATGAATGTTATTCATCTGTTAAATAACAGATTAAACGTGATTACGCAATGAAATCAAATGCTAATGCTAAAAGGTGGAATTAGTCGACAAGAAACCCTGGATCTAAATTTCGTGCTATTTGACGCTCGTCAGGAAGATGAACCTGCAAGATTCGATCTCGCATCACCTGGCTTCACTGTGAGACGCGGTACCACTGAGCTATCTAGATCACGACCAACTTTCAGTAAGATTGAAATTTATTTACAACTAACTGATCACTGCAGAGTGACCAATGTTATT